AAGTAGCATCTGCGCTTTGCAGCATGTGATCGAAGATGTGCTAGACGCTCTTCTAACCATTGATCTTACGGAGTGAGTATGGTTGTGTTTCCACGTTGTTCTTCCAGTCCCTGTAGGAAGTGCGGTTGTTTGAAACTCTGGACCCCCCAGTCCATCCAATGACTTAAGAATTTAAAAAAAAAACAGTCTGCTTGGCGGTTTGGGATATGTGTCATTGTCTAATCGAATGGGATGCTGATCCCCATATTTATCTTTCCGAAATTTCACACGAAGTGGTGGTCGAACCACTTCCGTTAATTAATATCTGATGTTCTTTGATGTTCTTTGACCCAAAGGTCTCATGTGAGATTCCCGGCGATTCACATTTTGAAAAACATGGCAGTAAGGTTGAGGGCAAATGTCCCCCTGTGTCCCCCTGTTGCGCAGTTGACGAAGCTTCGAGCCAGTTGCGAGCAGCTGCAACTGCAAAGCAGGGAGGCCCAGCAACGACCGCAGCAGTGATGAAGCCACAACGATGTCAGGTAGTAACGGTGTGTACTTCATAAAGATATATAAATTTATGTTGGAAAATGGGTTTTTGTGATTTCAGCCAGACTTCATTTTTCACGGTGACGTCTGTCACTTCTTGGAGTCACATCCGCTTGATTCCACCACATCCTGCGCTACTCAGGTATTGAGCAGGTGCTGGAAGGGATGGGATGGGGAAGGGATTGAGATGACACGCTTTCTATTTTTAAAAGAAAAGGTGGACTTTCTCAGGATGTTGGAAGATATGATTATTCCTTTGCTTGGTGCTTTGGACAAGGCTGACTTCGATCCGATTTGTGATGCTTTACGATGCTTCCACTAACTCACTGTCGACTCACTGCGACCATATGTTGGCCTATCATTGGAAACCGAACCTGCTGACTTGGGCCAGAATCACAGCCATCAAACTAGGTCCCATGAAATAGACATTGAATTTCCCATTAAATTTGTCAATTGAGGATCCATACCCTACTGTGTTTTGAGACAACCCCAATTTTCTCGGATGCGAAGCGAAGGCCAAAGTGGAAGAAGCGAAGCGAAGGCTCATGCAGCAAGCACTGAAAGAGCAGGCAGGGATTCATGCGATGTGAGTCCCATGGTGGATGCCCAAAAATTGTGACTTTCATATAGTGAGGAAGCTGTGAAGCTGTGAATCACATGATTAAAAAAACAGGGTGCCCTATTTTGAGACGACGGGATGCATTTGTGAGAGGGAAATTCATGGGGACTCCCGTCTTCGACTTCGCCCGGAAAACAAGTTTTTGAGAAGCCACAAATAGAGTGAACAATCTGATGATGAAGCTTTGCAGTGCAACAAACATGGCTAGCAAAACAAAACATTAAAAACACAATAGATAATGGCCTTCAAAAAGTCGGGATTTCCATTGATTTTCCATTGCCATATTAATTGAACCGTTATACCCGCAAAATCTCCCCAGTTTTGGGAATCTCCCCGGTTGTGGTCGTGCCACCAGCCAGGCTCAAGAAATGCAGCGAGAGTTCGACCAAGCGCTTCGCGAGGCGCTGCAACGAAGGGATCGGATGAAATTGGATGTTTACCAACAAGACTCAGGATATTTATGGGGGTTTCCTAAGGAGGCCTATTTTTTTGTTTTTTTTTGTTTACGTTTTTGGATTTTTTTTGGATTTCTTGTTTTATCTTGCTTTCTCCTTTTTTTTTGCTTTTTTGCTTTTGTGTTTTTGTTTTTTGCTTTTTTTGCTTGTTTGCTTTTTTTGCTTTTTTGCGTTTTTGCTTGTTTTTGCTTTTTTGCTTTTTTGCTTGTTTGCTTTTTTGCTTGTTTGCTTTTGTGCTTTTTTGCTTTTTGCTTTTTTTGATTTTTTGCGTTTTTGCTTTTGCTTTTTTGCTTGTTTGCTTTTTTTGTTGCTTTTTGTTGCTTTTTGTTATTTTTGCCTTTTTTGCTTGTTTGCTTTTGGCTTTTGGCTTGCTTTCCATGGCTTTTGGTGTTTTTTTTAGTATGTCAAACTTGCACACTTTTCCATACACTAGTTTGAATCGACTATATTAATATTTATGTTTAAATTAAAATCTATATATATATATATATATTTACATATACATATATATATGTATGTGTATATGTATATATGTATATATGTATATATGTATATATATATATTCAGTTATATACACACTTATAAATGTATATCTAAATATATTTATATTATTTATATTTTCTCTTTTTATTTTTTTTAGATACATATTATTACTATTTATGTTCAAATTCAAATATATATATATATACATATATGTAAATATATACATATATTTATATTTATGCATGTATATATACACTTATATTTATATATAGATTATATTGATATATTTATATTTATATATTTATATTGTTTTTTTATTTATGTTTTTATATTTATATTTATATATTTATATTTACATATTAATATATATTTATGTACTTATATATATATTTACATTCATATGTATATACATATAAATGTATATATATATAAATATAAGTATGTATGTATAAGTATATATACGGTATTCCACATGTTTCCAGGGTGCATGTCGTGTAGTCTATACACCTTGAGTATCACATTCAACCCAGCACCTTGCATGTAAAATAGGTGTTTCCAATCTGCTTTGGGGGGGAGGCGCTGCGCCCTCCCCCCGATTCCCCCCCCTCCCGCTTTTTTTAGTTATTTAAATTCAAACTTGCACACTTTTCAATACACTAGTTTGATTCGACTATATTAATGTTTATGTTAAATTATATATATATATATATCTAGACATATATATATATATAGACACACACATATATATATATATGTATATGTATATGTATATGTATATGTATATATTTGCATTTATATATACACTTATATTTATATATATATTGATCTACTTTTACATTTTTTGTATATATATATACATATTAATATGTATATACATTTCAATGTGTATATATCTATATAATTATGTATCTATAAGTATATAAACATATTTATATATATATATATATTATAAATACACATACATATTTACTTGTAGATATACAGACGTATACATATATATATATATGACATATTTGTGGTTGTTTTTATACACAGCTTTGATCCCAAAATAAACTACAAATAATCATGTAATTATACCTACATGTTGTATCCCTAAACCCTAAACCACACCCTGCATATACATACATGCCTGCATGCATACATACCTACCTACCTACCTACATACATACATACATACACACATACATACATACAGACACATATATATATATATATTGATTGATTGATTGAAGAAAACCATAGAAAACTTGCAGAAAACTATGGAAAATTGAATAAAACCAGGGAAACATTGAAGAAAACCATGGAAAAATTGCAGAAAACCATGGAAAACCATGGAAATATTGAAGAAAACCAGGGAAAAATTGAAGAAAACCATGGAAAACCATGGAAATATTGAAGAAAACCAGGGAAAAATTGAAGAAAACCATGGAAAAATTGAAGAAAACCATGGAACAATTGAAGAGGCACGAAGCAAAAAACAAAACAAAACTGTAAACAAAAAAAATCCAAAAACAATTCTGCATCCTTTTCCTAAAATGGTGGTACCCTCAAATCATCCAAAATTAGACCGTGACATCTTATTGAAACCTATGGTTTTTTTGGGAAACCTCCATATGGATATGAACAACTATAGAAGCTCACATTGAAACCATGTGTTTGGCTATTTCCAACTGGAACCTCAACTCCAAACCCCTTTTGTTGACGAGCTATATATGTGCAGGTTCAGGACCTCCGGGACAAGCAAAGTTTCCAGCTGCAGGCCAGTCAGTTGGGAATGCAATCCAGGATAGGGAAAGCTGCATGGGGTCGGGGTATGCACAAATACCCCCAAGTTATATCAATTTATGGCATTTCTTTATGATGAAGACCGGTATGGTCTAGTGGATAAGACGCATCCCTCATGGGCCACTACCCCACCCCTGCAGTTAAGGGGATGAGCTAGGGTGTGGTCCGTAAAACACTCACTCTTTATGATGAAAATATATGAAAAATTATGGAAAGCTGTTTTCAAAATCCTGGGATTCTGCATGAGTTTCATGAGAGGTCACCGAGGTTTGGTAACCAGCGAATGTTGGCGAAACTATAGATGGCAGTATGTATCTGATTGGTGGTTTGGAACCATGGATTTTTTTTTGACTTTCCATATATTGGGAAGAATAATCCCAACTGACTTTCATATTTTTCAGAGGGGTAGGTCAACCACCAACCAGATATAGTTAATATACTTTAAAATATTAGGGGATTGGATTTACATGGAAATCCCCACATATGACCGTAAATATTTTAAGACTTGACTATGAACCGCAAGTCTAACATTCAGGGACGTTCGAAACCTTCAAAACCGATGTGAACTGTTGTGAATACCTCCCAGAACACGACAGAATATGATCATGTTTGGTGAACAGGTTCTGGTCAACAGAACTTGTGATTTGCTGCTGTTCAAATTGTTGTTTGGGGAGGATGTTGATCCCCGACCAAGTCCAAAGGAGAAAGCACAAGAACTTTGTGACAAAGAACACACTGTCTCGACCCTAAGGGCTATTTCATGGCTGCTGCTGGTGATATCTGGATTTTGCCCAGGGGTGATACATGGTGATACCTGAAATTGCCTTCTTTTCATATAGGGAAACCGCATGGTCAACGATCAGTTTTAGGGCAGCCTCCATGGAAAACAAGCTGCCCGAATGTGGCTGTTGTATAATGTGTCATCTGTACCGAACAAGAAGAGATTCCATCAGCACCTTCTAAAAATCATGAGGATATTATGATGTATATGTATAATTATGTATACATAGTTATATTTCAAATTATATATACATATATATATATATGTATACATATATATGTACGTATACTGATATCATGGGTACTTAGTAAGTTGATCCTTCATTTTTTGTTAAAAAATCCAGGTGTCGATGTTGACCTCCGAGCTGGAGGACTTGAGGAGCAAGCAGGCGGTTTCCAAGAAAAACCATGTCCTCATATTAACAATGACAGATTACCCTCTGGTAATTTAACATAGCTATGGAAAATCACCATTATTAATGGGAAAATCCACTATAAATGGTCATTTTCAATAGCTATGTTAAATTACCAGAGGGTAACACAAGGACATGGTTTCCTTATAAATCCAACATCTAGGTTGATTATGATGGATTTTTTTTTGTCCAAATGACGTCCTAGGGGTGTCAGTTACTTATATTTTTTCTCTTATAGAGGAATATAGAAGTCGTTCATTGATTAGGTGAGAATTTTCTTCCATGGCGTTGCGTTAAGTTTCAGAAGCCCAGCCGCTGCACGGTGTGGCTGTGTGGCCCCTGCTAGGTGGAGTCAGATTCCAGGCTGGAGCAATTGCAAGACGAGTCGGGTCCCAGGTGTCCCATCTTGTCCTGCGGATGTGGGGTGGCTACAGGAACGTGGTTTGAACACAAATGGTTAAGAATGGTAACCCCAACCATTAGTTTTCTCTATTCTCAAATGCTTCCCCTTTCGTCCCCTTTCAGATTTTGAATGCTGAAGATATCCCGATTTTGAATGCTGAGGCTGTCCAAAAGCGCTGACTTGCTCCACAGCTCTGAGGTTGAGCGCTGTTGATCTGAGAAAGCAAAGTTTGGTATTTTCTGCATTGACTTTTGGCGAAGGGCTAGTAACTGTTGGCAAAAGCAATCCAAATCCGAACGAAAAAATCCAGGTTTCAACATGTTTCAGCATCAAAAATGATGAGATGTTCAGGTCTCAACATCCAAACTCCTGAGTTCAGAGTCAGTACTGCACGGCTGTTGCCGTTTCAGGCCTCGATGCGTGTGTGGCAAAACGAGGCTCAGCAGCAAAAGGAGCAGCTGAGCGAGGACTGCAATGGGGGACACCTCAGGCGTTGAGGTCGATGATACCCGAGGATCCAAGAAGTCTCATGGGATCAAGATTTGTACCTTTCTTAACCATTCTTAACCAAGTTCATTTGAGGTTGGTTGCTTGGTTTCACATATGACAAAATAGAGGTGTGACCGGCCATAGTTCGGAGATGTTCGGATGTAAATTCAGTTGGCATAAACAACCAATCCCGTGCTTTGGTCAGTGCTTTGGTCGCAAACAAGAAGCGGGAAACACCGGACAAGAATGAGGGTGTAATAGGTAAAACATGGTAAAACTAGGGCATGTCACCAGCAAAAACTGGCGACTGAACCAACAAGACATTGTGATTTTGCCGACCACCGTCCAGTAGATGGGGTCCGACCAAAGGCACGGGGCCAGAGGCTGCTTTCCAGGCCTGGGTCAAGGTCAACGCCGAGGAACAGCGAAATAAGCCAGCTCGACATGAACTGTTTTGCGCTACGACGCTACGAGCTGTATCTAAAGATGTTTGAAGTTTGTTGTTAAAGAATTCTACATTAAATGTATCTATATAGTTGATCCTGTTTGGATGGTGTCCCAGAACATTGTTGGTTATTTCCCACTATAAATATGTCTTGTTCCATATATCCCCAGAACGCCGCTAGGAGGTCTTCGAGCTGCATCAAAGCTATGCCAAGCGTTTGCAAAACCTCCGAGCCCAGCAGGGTGGCGAGAAACGCGCCTTTCAAGCCGTGGAGGATCTGGATGGGCAAAGGTGAGTGGTGGGTCTGAAAATACCAAAAACCCAATGAGATCCC